CGGCTCCCCGCCGCCGGCCTGGAGGTCCAGGTCCAGCTGCAACCCCGGCCCAGGCCCGGCCCGCAGCGCGCAAAGTTGTCCCGGAGCGCGGCCCCCGGCCCACGGCACCGACACCATTCCCGCGGCCTCCATCTTAGTCACTGCGGCGCGGCCCAGCTCCACCACGCGCATGCGCCGCCGCCGCCTGGCCCCTGCCGGGCACCGTCCCGGGGCGCCGCCATCTTGAGCGTGGCGCTTCCGGGGAAAGTGGCTTCCTGCCCCTCGGCGGGGGACAGCCATCTTGTGTGTGGCGCGCTTCCTGCGTCTCGGCGCGGGCGGCCATTTTGAGTGTGGCGCGCCTTCACGTCACTGCCTAGCAACTTGCTCTGCGGCGCCTCGTGGGGGTGGGAGCTCCGTTCCCTCGTGGCCATGTTCACGCTGGACCCTAACGACGACGGTGTGCGTGGCAGTCCCTGCTGGCTGGCTCTAGCCGAGTGACTCGCGTTGAGCGGGGACACCTGGGCACCGGCCCCGGGTTTGTAGCCCGTGCTGGCTTGAGATCCCAGGAAAGTGCCCTTCAGCTGTGCCCCGCGCCTCCCTCCTCTGGGCCGACAGCGCTGGCACCCCTTTGGAATCGGGGCTGCACCCAGGACTGCAGAGCACTGCCGGGCGTCATTGGGCCTGCCCCTTCCTTTGGCTGCAGGCCAGCGCCGCCCGCCACGTGGCTGCACCGCCACGCCGTCTCCTTCTGCACGCTCTGTGCTTCAGAGCAGCCTCCAATGTGCCGGTCCAGGACGTGGGCCGAAGCCCGACAAGGAGAGCTATAAGCCCCTCCGGGCGAGGCGGGCTACTAAGGGCACATCGCTGGTTGCTTGGGGCAAATAAAGGACCAAGCAGGGGTGGGAGTGGAGGGCAGAGGCTAATAACAGCACATGGGGGGGACGCTGAGCAAAGCACACTGGACAGGGCCTGCCGGCTCTCGAACAAGTGCAAACACCGGCCCAGGTGCCCACCAAGGAAACTATAAGCCCCCTTTAGTACAGGCAGCCACTAATGATGTGTTACAAATTACTTGGGACAAATAATAATGAAAACGGGGACAGGAGTGGAGGTCAAAGAGTAATATCTAGTTCGTCAAGGGCGGGGCACTGAGCAGAGTGCACTGGACAGCACCCACTGGCCCTCAAATGAGTCCCAGGAGCCAGGGGACACTGCCCAGTGATACTCTGCCCAGAGACGGGAATGAGCTGGGACAAGGAAAGCTGCTCTACAGTCCCCAGGGACCCTCGCAGCCAGAGCCTCCTTCCTGGTAAGATACTCGGCCAGCTTGGCCGGGGCCAGGAGGAGGTTGACCAGGAGGTCCCAGGACTTGGTGGGGCTGTGGATGGGGAGGGAGTAAATGAAAAGGTGCAGGGAGACATGCAGCCAGGACCTCAGGTCTTGGAGGTGCCGGTGAAGGGGTGGCAGCCTGGCACACTCCAGGTAGGCATGCGCCAGGGTCTCTCTCTGCTCAAAGAAGGAGCAGTTGGCCATGACACATGCCAAATACACACCCATGGTGATGGCTTCATGGAGGAGACACCAGCTGAGGTCCCTGGTGGCTTGCAGGGTTAGACTAGAAGAAGGGAGGAGGGCTAGATTTGAGCTGTGGCCTGGCTGCGTTTCTCTTGACAATTGGCTTTTGTGTACTGCAGGAGCATGTCCCAGTTACAAGTGCTGCTGGGAGCCAGTCAGAGTTGTAGCGGCGCTGGCAGAAATGCAGATGTCTTCACGGCACAAAGACGTCTGTCGCCTGCCTTGGGTTAAACTGCAGTAAAGGTGAGGCACCCTCGGGGCAGGTCAGGTCCAGCTGCAGGTGCCTCTAGGAGCTTTATCCGGAGCTGCTCACCTGAGGTAAGCAGTAACACCAACTCTCATGAAAAAATCATGAGACTCCCAATTTCCAAGTCAAACGAACTCTGACTCAGGATTTCCTGATATCAAGAGATCAAATCTCGGGATTTTTTCTTCTGGCACATGTAAAGAGCACCACGCTGATAAATCTGTGGAAGGGAAGCAGTTTGGGGGGG